TAACAGAACGTTTCAAAGTGCTCGACAAATGTAATGGTGAACAGTGGGCTGAAAAATACGATTTAAGAAGGATGGCCAAAGTGATAGTCGAAGAGGTACATTTTAGAGGCTTTTGAGTCCAACAACAACAAATTGCATTTATACAGTGCCTGTCTTTCACATCCCAATGCGTTGGACAGTCGAGGGTTTGTATTTTTGTCTGGTGTGCAGGACGCTGTATACGTGCAAGTTGTTGTTGTTCTTGTACCCAAGCTGGGCTAGGCTGTGTGTGATGGGCTCAGAGCCAAGTGCGGGAGAGGACAGCAGCTATAGTGTTCTGAGAGGTCTGTAGTTTGTGGAGGGAAGAGTTGGGAAGTCTGGTGAGGGAGAGTAGGCGTAATCTAGCCTGGATGGGATGAAAGCATCGGTCAGGTAAGTGTCTCAGAAGCCTGAGGAGATAATGGTTGAAGACGGGCAATGTTGCGGAAGTGGGGGAAGCTGAATGAGTCAGGCAATGGATGTGGGGTTTAAAGGACAATTGAGTGTCAAACAAGACACTGAAGGTCTACACATGAGCCAAGTAGGAGAGCATCTGTTTTGTGGACATTGAACTGGAGGAAGTTAGAGCTCATCCATCACTTAATGTCTGACAGGCAGAATCCAGGAAGAGAGGTAGAAAGGGAAAGAAGTTCCAGGGAACAAGAGTTTGATGGCCGAAGCACAGTCTCTGATGAAGCAACAAGAATTGGTAGATCAACACCTTTATGATAAACCTCCAACTCAGTTGAACAGCAACACTGTGGCTGGTGGTTTCTATGTGCTTAGATTGACTATTAATCTCCACCTGAGACACAGCAATGAACCTTGGTGTTTGCTTGAGCGCACTTGCTTTACAGATGGATCATTTTCTACTGATGTGCACCAGATTATGAGCATAGTCAGCAGAAACAGAAAGAAAAATGTGTGACCTTCATATTAGGTTTCCCTTTGCTCCCATTCGATTTTCTTGCAGGTGTTTGGAAGCATCCATCGGCATCAGGGTGGCAAATGACGTGACCGAAACACACCACAGACCATGTTCTATGAGCTGCAAAAGGCGGCACAATCGAAGCAACCACAACAATAACTTGCACTTATATAGCACCCTTCACACAGTGCAGCGTCTCAGAGCGCTTAGAAGCAAACCAAATCCACAGCACTCCATTTCTCGGTCTAGATATTAGCAATCTTTTTTTTTCTTTTAAGAGCATGATGATCTGCACATCAACAGGATAATAAGGGCGTTGCTAATATATATATAATAGATATATAAGTGTGAATTCAACAAAGCTTCCTCCCTTACTTTATCGGTATCTTAATAATCTAACCCAATTTTTTAAATCTCTTTTATCATCTCTCAAATACACATTTTGAACTCGATGTATGAGCAAAATATAGCTAAAGTTCCACATTACTTTTAATGTTGAGCAATTTACATAGAGTAACTTATTTTTCATGAGGAGGGTTTGACCTAATTCTATCCACAAACCCTGGTGTACATATTAATCATCTTGTGTTACTAACACAGTGATAACAAAAAACCCTTACTCTTTGTTATGCAACAAGACAAGACAATATATCTTCTCAATCCTTCCTGTTCATATTTGTAAGTGAAATGCAGCATTGTGAATTCTGCATTTGTAACAACTGTTTTTAATGGAATAACACACTGGAGTAACAAAAAGTGATCCTTGCATTGGACATAGCATCTCGTCACTAACGACAACAAGAAAACTTGCATTTATATAGCGCCTTTCACTGGGGGCGGTGTCCCGGAGCGCTTGACAGTGGCGGAGTCTGACCCTGAGCCAGGGGGGAGGGAGGGGGAGGTGACCGTAAGCCTCATCAAAAAGGAAGGTCTTCAGGTGGGATTTGAAAGTGGGGAGGGAGGGGACGAGGCGGAGGGATTGAGGGAGGGAGTTCCAGAGTTTCCAGTGTCAGAAAGCAAGGCCACCGATGGTGGAGCGGAGGGGACAAGGGACGAACAGGAGGCCGGAGCCAACCGGGTGGAGGCAGCGGGTGGAGGAGTGGAGTGTAAGCAGATTGGATACGTAGGGAGGTGCGAGAGCAGGAAGGGATTTGAAAGCGAGTAGAGGATCTTGAAATTGATCCATTCAGTAATTGGGATCTAGTGGAGCCTGGAAAGGACTGGTGTGAGGTGGATAGATATTTGTTAGGTCAGGGTATTAAGGGATATGGGGTAAAGGTGGGTAATTGGACATGAGGTTCAGATCAGCCATGATCTTATAGAATGGCAGAACAAGCCCTAGGGGCCAAATGGCCTCCTCCTGTTTCCATGTTTCTATCACATTGTTAAGATGTTTAGACATGGGTTGTCAGGAGTCTAGGTTTGGGGATGTCACAGTGGGCTCCACAATACTGCTGGACATTAACCAGCTAAAACTATGTAGCTTAACACTGTGAACTGGCTAGCTTCTCGTGAGAACTACCAGACCTAGGAAGGTTTGCAAAGTTAACATGAGCCAAGTGGGAATATCCCAAGGCTAAGGGACTGCTTTGTACATTTCCCAGCTGGCCATAGTGGAGTCCTGTAGCTCACTGTTTAGACCACTCGCCTCGTAAACGAGGGGACCTGGGTTTGAATCCCGGCAGCTCGAAACCTTAGTGAGAGTTTCCTTACTCCACACGCCTGTTTACTTAGCAGTAAGTAGGAACCCAGTTGTTAATCGATTGGTGGATTGCTTTTCCGGGGGCAATAATCCCTTCAAAAAAAATAAATTGGTCACTTCAATCCACGACTGTTGTGTCGTGGATTGAAGTGACACTCTGCTGTGTGCAATTAACTGCCACATTTCGCCCACACAATATACACAGTCAATTCACTTTTACAGTATGTGAAGCGCTTTGAGACGTCTCGAAGATGCCATAAGGCGCTATATCAAACACAAGGATTATTATTATAGCCTACAATTGGCATTTTACGCATAGTGATACCTAACTGATGTTAATCAATTAGACTATGAACTGGGAACCACAGTGGATAAGTCCCTACTTTGGAAGTGGGTCCTTCTGACCTAAAAACATTTCACCCAAGTTTCCAAGAAAGGGTCAATCAATCAGCAGAGACCACTTTAAGGCTCCAAATGTGTGGTTCTTATTAAGGCAATTCATTTTCAACTCACAATGAATACCATAATCTGACCACAAAAAATCCCCTCGTCACCAACATACATGCAGAGATCAATGAGATGCAGTGCTCAAGATACTTCCATTTTTGTTTTGTCAACACATTCAATAATCTGTTGACTGCATCGAACTGCAAATGCCACTATTTTTCTCATGACTACATTTAGATTTGTTAACATGTTAGAAATTAAACACGTATTTTCATTATTATGTGAAAAGAAATTTAACTGGTTAAAAGAATTAGGTTTTATTTTGTTGGGGGAAGAGTGAAAAAAAACATTAAATAAAGTTCCCGAATGGTTCATACAATTGCGTAAGAAGAATGGTTATCGTCATTTGAAGGAAACTTTTCTTTTAAGGTGAATTCTTAGAAACAAGGTAATAAGGATTAGCAACTGGAAATGCGCCAGCATAGGATGCTGAGTGGAACAGTGGTACAGTATAAAATCCAACTTATACATGCCTTTACATGTCATACTATACAACTTATGCAAGTTTCACATAACTTTGTATACATCATATCAAATGTATGGTCCCAACTGGTAAGACTTATGAGGTTTACTGTACAATAACATTATTGTATCATCTCTGCAACCTGGGCTTGAACACAGCTCAAGAGGGATGAGGGGCAAGTCTCCTCTTGAAACGAGTTTTAGGATTTCTCATCTAAGCTCCTGGTGGACATGAGCTCTGATCCAAGATGATGTAATTTAACATTAAAATGTTCTGTTTATGGGGAATAAAAATGTCACATTGGTGCAAGAGGGATTCCTCTTCTGAAATGAGGGCATAATAAGGGGGAATTTTAACAATAATTAACAATAATAATCTTTGTATTTGATAGAGCACTTTTCACGTCTTCTAGACGTCTCAAAGCGCTTCACAGGATAGACTATAAAGTGAATTGACTTGTGTAATTGTGGGTGAAGCCAATTGCGCACAGCAGCGTCCCACAAACAGTCGAGGATTGAAATGACCAATGTATTATTGTTTTTTTTGAGGGATTATTATCAGACGTGTGGAGTGTCAAACCTGATCTTGGAGTACTTGGTAACTAAAATGAAAAATTGTTCAATATTCCACACTAACAATCTCGACTTTGATGAGCACACACCCAAAAAAAATTGATCAAGGATAGAACTTGAAAAATGTTGATAATTTTTTCAACCCACATAGAATTATAGAGATATATCACATAAAACAAACTACAATGGTTTAAGAAGCAAAACTGATGAGCCTTTTCTGATACAAGAAACATAATTTATTAATATATGCAGGAGTTTGAAGTAATAATTTGACATTAATGTTACTTTAGAAGAGTGACTAATTTTGCAAAAAATAATGCTGATAAAGGTTTGTTAACCTGAATCGGTTTGTCCGTACTCAAAATGGTAATATAATGGTACTCCAAAGCTGAGATGTCCCCTATTTAGCAGTAGTTCCACAGAAAATTCAGAAGAAATACTGAACGAGTGGAATTGACACACGTATTGGTCAGAGTCCAATGAAGACATGCCACCAATCAATGTTATCAATGTTAAAACTATAACATGAATCATTTCAAATATTAAGCCATTGAATGTTTCAGTTAACCATCTGATAAAGGGCCACATAAGTACGTCACTTCAAAATACTCTTATAGTGTTAAAGATGGGAATGCAACTTTGAGGTTGCTGTTGAATAAATCTTCAGCATATAAGGAGTAAAGGGCAACAGCAAGTTTAAGGATGGGTGCTAAATATAGTATAAAACAGATTTTCCATTCCCATCTCTTTCAGGAAATGAAACAGTCAGCTTGAAAGTGTAACAATGAAGAAGATGTGTGAGAATATGTTGCTGCGTATTTTAATAGATTTTTATTTAATTCAAATATAATGTACTAAAACTCACAATAGCTTCTCATTTTTTATTGCTTAAATTAAAAAAAATGCAACAACTAGAACTACTCTGGCACTTTAAGACAACAGAATTGGGATTAATAGAGGCTCGTCTTCTTCATGATCCGCAAAAATTCTTGTTCATTTATCTCACCATCACCATCACGGTCAGCTTCATCAATCATTTCCTGTTTAAGAACCAAAAAAAACTGAAGTGAAGTTTATATGCTGTTACATTAAATCCAGTTTTCTACAGCAGTAGATTTAGGAATAAAGGAAATGTCACTTGGCCCATCAGGCCCGCACTGCCACAATAATTCCATGACCTATATATTGTGAAACCTCCCTTAATATTCTTACTCACCAGGTGCTTGTGTTAGTTCAACATTTCAAGATTCTACTGTTATAATAAAGTCTTATAAAATAGCTGCCTTTCAGGACAACACATTGCTGTTCAGGTCATCACTTTCTGCATATTGCTCATATGCAATAATCGCTGCCAATGCCTTCAAAGTAACGTCAGTGTATTTTTCTGTATAAAGCATATATGCATGTATAGGAACTGATATCAACAGTGACCTGATGAGGTGGCTTTTTTTTTTAAAAAAAGCAGATGTAGGCTAGTCAGTGTCAGTTGCCACATATAGCTCATTTACAGTATACCATGGGTATACAGTGGACACACTTCGCGGGAGATTTGGAAGCACTGAACAGGTTTCAAGAGAAAATAAAGGGTAACTGTACTGTTCCCTATTAATGACCAATAGGCATTAACGTGTATTGATTTATAAATGTATAAAATGGGGAAATCCCACAATAAAAATTAAGTGAAAAGATATACACAATGGCCCCTAGATGGTGCCATTATAAGAGGCTGCAATAAGAGCAATTATTTCAGTTCCACCTGCCCTCTCCCCATATCACTGAAGCTAACTCTTTTAAGTTCTAGTTCCCCCTTGAAGGACAATATGGATTTTGCCTCAGCAGGGCATTCCATATATCTTAATTACTCCTAGACGTGAAAAAAAAATTCTTCTAACCTGCCCATTTGCTCATTTACTAACTAACTATCTTAAATAGATTACCCACTAATTACTGATTCACCAAACTGCTGCACAACAGTTTTCAGGCCACGAGCACGGATCAGGATTTCCCAAACTTGGGTTTGTTTCAATTATTTGGGGGTGGGAGCACATAGCTGGGAGACTTACCCGACGTCCAAAGGCTATATGGAAGCCTAGTTAGACTACGGAGGTATGAGAAAGGTGCTTTCCCATGGTTCCAGTGTAAGGTAAACAATAATAAATTGGTCATTTTCAATCTACGACTGTTTGTGGGACATTGCTGTGCGCAATTGGCTGCCGCGTTCGCCCACAAATATACAGTCAATTCACTTTACAGTCTATTCTGTGAAGCGCTTTGGGACGTCCTCCCGACGTGAAAAGCGCTATATCAAATGCAAGGATTATTATTATTATTATTATTATAAGGTATTTAGGGGCAGCCTTTTGTGGCGGCTGCGAGGGAGGGCAGGAGGCCTCGCTGTACCTAACCCCGGGAGCACTTGACCCCAGAAAGTTTGGGACCCCCTGATCTAGCCCATAGTTGACAAGATATCTCAATGAGTGTTTAGAGTTATGATACTTCTGAACACCACCACAAAATAGTCGTAGTATGATTAATCCAATTGTGTAACCTGCTTTACTAATCGGCCAAAAAAATCCTGCCTTAAGATCACCTTTTTAAAGTTTAAATAGGAAAATAGAAACTTCACAGAACGGGTAGGAAACTTAAATTAAAATGTAAAAATAAGTTTAAGTAATGTCAAATAAAAATTGGGATGGTAAGCGGAGAAGAGGTGAGATGAAAATTAAGAAAGAATGTAGAATTAGACATCAGACTTTAAAACGTATTAACTTATATTAAAGAGTTAAATATAGACATTTTAATGGGATAAGATTAGAACTGTGCTTTTCTGGGATCAGGTGATTCCAGATCAACTCTCACATCATTACAAGGCACCAGCTCCCAATGTAGCAATGAAATGGCTTTTGGGCTCATGCAGCTTTTCACAGTCAGTGACATCAGTCAAGCAGCCGAAGTAAGAAGGAAGGAATCTCCGCAATATTTCATCCACTTTACAATATATTCTGTGAAGCGCTTTGAGATGTCTCAACAACGTGATGAGGTGCTATATCAAATGTACAAATTATTATTAAAAATGGTAGAAAATACTTTAGAACATTAAAGGTGAATTCATACTTTGAACAGATAATTTATTAGATCCATAATACAATGAGGTTTATAGTACCCTGATCAAGTCAGATTTGGAGTATTGCATACAGTATTGGTTGCCACAACAAGGAGGTTAACCAGGTTCTGGAGGCTGACCTGAAGAAACTAGTGAGGCTGATAATACTGTAGTATTAGAGAGATGAGTTACAAAACCTAAGAACATAGGAAATGCTAGACGAAAAAAGACCAAGGTCCATCTAGATCGTCTTCCATTTTCCTGGCGATCGCATGCACATGTGTCCTAAACTACATATGTATTATATCCCATAATATTATTTCCTATAAGAAAACTATCTAATCTGTGGTTGAAAGAATCAATAATTCCTGCTTCAACCGTCTCCCTGTTCCTGTAACCTGTTCCACAGAGTTACAAGGACTCATTTGATAACTTGATCCTGACTGATATTTGGAAGGATGAAATTTAAAGCCTTCTTCCTCTATAAACCTTTTGTCATACCACGTCATTACTGAGTGCAGAAAAATCAGCAGAAGGTGGAAACAGTAGTTCTGTTTGCGTGACCTTCGAGCAGAGGGATGGACCACAAAAAATTGTGATTGGAAGCGGACGGCTACAACTTTGGAAACAGAATTGTCAAGAGCCCCAATGCAATTCCTCAAGAACAATGATTCTAATAAAAGGTGTAATAAAAAGCTGTGGCTGAAATGGAACCATGGCTCAGAACTTTGCTGACCTGCACAGTAGAGTGACAGGATGTGGGTTTCTAACCATGATTCTCCAAAGAGCAAAACGGCACTGTGCAATAGCTAACAAGAGAATAACTTGGGGGTGGAGAGGAATAAGAAAAAAAACATCCCAGCTCATCTCGACTTGTGAAAATGTAAAAGTGACAGAGCCCCGAGAACTTGTCCTGGCCTGTTCAGCTGGTGGAGGCGCAGAGAAATATGACTCACGTTTTTGTTTGAGTCTAAAAGTGGTAGAAATTGAACAGTGAACAAGTACTCTGATTAACTGTGATACAGAACAGTAGGAAATGGACTCTGGTCTACAACTGCCATCACGATGAGTCACCATCCCAGCAGCAGTGCTACTGTGAGGAGGGTGAGAGGAAAACAAACAGACCACTCTCACCGTGTACCTCCTAGTGGTTGGCCACAAAGGAGTGTAAAGGAGAAAGAAAGAGATATGAAAAAAAAAGTGGGTTATGATTTCAGAATCCGTAAAGAGTTGATTCACTCATTACTAATTGCTCATCAATTAGTAATCTCTGTGAAGGCTCTATAAGCACACTGGAAAGCAAATTAAATAATGAACTAACAATAGGATGTCACTGATGAATAAGGAAGTGAAGACAAAATTCCCAGCTAAGGGAGATTCTAAAGGATAGAGGGATTAAGGGATATGGGGATAAGGTGGGCAGGTGGAGTTAGGTTATAAGATTAGCCATGATCTTATTGAATGGCGGGTCAGGCTCGAGGGGCTGAATGGCCTACTCCTGCTCCTAATTCCTGTGGAGTCCTGTAGCTCAGTGGTTAGAGCACTCGCCTTGAGAGTGAGAGACCTGAGTTCAACTCCAGGCAGAGGGCGAAACCTCGGGCAAGTTTCCTTACTCCACACAGAGCCTAATAATAATCCCTCCAAAACAAAACAATAATAAATTGGTCATTTTCAATCCATGACAGTTTATGGGACATTGCTGAGTGCAATTGGCTGCCGCGGTTGCCCACAAACATAGAGTCAATTCACTTTACAGTATATTCTGTGAAGCGCTTTGAAATGTCTAGAAGACGTGATAAGCGCTTTATCAAATGCAACGATTATTATTATTATTATGTTCCTATGAGATCCCAAACTCTAAAAAGTAGCTACACAGGTAGATAAGGCTATTTAAAAAAGGCGAATGCGGTCTTGCTCTTTGTATCCAGAGGGATATAAAGTGAGGAGGTGACGTTCAATTTGGAATTGAATATTATATCCAATTCTGGTCTCCACGCTATGGAAGGATATAGTAGTAATGGAAATATTACAGCGTAGGTTTACAAGGATGTTGCCAGGGCTGGCAGTTTACTGCAATCAAGATAGACTGGAAAGGTTGAGTCTTTTTTTCATTCGAGATGTTTAAGTGGGGAATGGAAGTGCTTAAAATTATAAAAGGGTTCAATAAGGTTACTATATATAGGCTGTTTTCACTGGATGGAGAGTCGTCCGTAACCAGGGGACACAAGAATCAGATAGTGACTTGGGGATCCAAAAGAGAATTTAGGAGGAACTACTTCAAGCAGTGGGTAGTGAGACGGTGGAACTCGCTGCTAGTTCTACGATTCACAAAACATATCTTCCAGCTCACCTGCAGTTCTTCATCGGTTAAATTTTCACCCAATTCTTTAGCAACTCTCTTTAGGTTCTTGAATGATATTTTTCCTGTACCATCATCATCAAACAAGCGGAAAGCTTTAAGAATTTCTTCCTTGGAGTCTTTCTCACTCTGGAAAGGAGTCAATAATTAGCGAGAATTTCAGCACTACAATCAACTCAAGAACTCTAACATATGATCTATTACTCTTCATATATATTTATTATTTATACTAATAAAACGACAATGTCTGTCTGCGCTTCAAGAAGGATCTCAATAACCGATTGACATAGAGACATGATTTAAACCCCACCGGAAAGGTCTTGCACTTGGGAGTGACATGAACATAGTTGTTTTCTGGTGTCTCCTATCGTTCACGAGTTACTTTCAGTTTTGCGTTTTTCGCTGCAGTTACACCTGGCGGCCACCGAGTCAAAGTGGCGCTGCGGCATCGCGAGTCACACACAGAGCACCTAACGCGTATGCGCTGCAGTTACGCCCGGTGGCCTCGCCGGCTGACCGTGGCGCTTGTGGCATCCTGCGGCACAGAGCACGCGTGTAGCCAAGCGGCGGGAACAAAATAAACAACACAGACAAAGCTAAGCCACGGCAACAACAACAACAACAACATTACATCTTTAAAGAGCCGAGTCTTCCCGTTGAGTTCTCCCAAAAGGAGTCCTCCCGCGGGAGTCCTCCCAGATGACTATAGATAAAGACGAAATGTGTGTCTGTGCGTCAAGCTACATTCCATACTGGATCCTTTGGTTGCCAGCGAAGCTGCAATGGGCGCAGCTAGTTTTTTATATATATATATAAATAGTCGGGTGCAGAGCCTTACCATTTTCTGAGTCATCATAGCCAAAAAGTCATTGAAATCAATGCTACCAGATCCCTCCTTGTCAATATCTGAAATCATCTTTTTTATTTCTTCTTTTTTCGGCTCGAACCCCAAGGCCCGCATGGCAACCTGGAAAATAAAGCGGAGTCGGGAGTTGGAGACGGATTCTAACTCTTGTCAAAATTAAATATATCTACAATGCAGACATTACTGGAAATCCGTCAGATTAAATCAGCAGCTGAAAAAGAAAATGAGTCAGCGTTTCGGTCAGGCCAAACAAAGTACAACTTTCCCTTCTTCAAATACAGATTGATTTGCTGTGGATTTCGTTGCAGATCTAGTGTTATACGTGAGCACGGTTTGCCTACAAATCTACAATTGCTACACTTCACAGTGAATCCTGTGAAGTACTTTGAGCCGATCCGATGACATGATAGAAGCAGTATCCCAAAATCAAATAACGTTATGATAAATCTTCCTAATTGTAACACTTTGCTCTTTACACAAAAAAATCTTGCTAAAAAAGGAGCACTACATTTCAACAGTAATTATCTGTAAAGCCCTTTGAGATATTCTGATGTTGCAGGTGATGCGTTAAATGCAACAATTATTGTAATATTACTATTTTTTATTAAATGGGACTCGGACTCAAATACCCAAACGGTTGGTTCCTCTGTAAAATTAAAGGGGATTTCTTTTCACCACTGAATTATACCCAATGTTTTGCATTTTATAGAAGCAATCATTGAAAATATTATGATACACAGTGGAGAAATACTTATACAAGTACCTTGATTTCCTTCACGTCAATAGTTCCAGAACCATCAGTATCAAACAAATCAAAGGCCTCCCTAATCTCCTGCTTTTGTTCCTCTGTGAGTTCAGACTTTGATCCAGATTTTTTTCGCTGTGAAGTTCCCAAGCCAGCTTTTCTGAAGCTTGTTGCCTAAAAAGGGGTGGTTCAAAAAATACCTTAAGTTCATACTTTTAAATAAAAATGTTTACAAATATTTGTGCATGCAGCTATTCACTCCCTACTACTACAGTAGCCGTACCACCACCATTGAACACCTCGCCGATCAGTTATATTCTCTCAATATAAGACAGTGACTACTGTATTTGCGAGTCAGTATCTTAATTGTGTAAAGCTCTTTGAGAAGGTTCAAGCTGACAAAAGTACAATATCAAGTATTTTATTTTCATGCCGTCTGTACAATTATATACCACTTGCAACGCGCTCTTGTGATATTTCTTAAGAAATGCAATTATCAAACAAGATTTTAGAAACGGTCAAATTTCTAAACTTTCTAAAATCCATTGAATGCTCCTTGAGGTTTTAAATAATTGGGAAATCTACATTTGTTTTTAAGAAATATCACAAATTGTACACCCCATGGGTCACACATTCTGGGTTCGTTTCCAGGTAAAATGCAACATGCAACTTTTAAATGGTAAAACTAAAACTTCAACAGCAATTTGAAGGGAAAGCCTAATCCTATGTAACCTTGTAAGCATTATTTAATGGAACAATACAAGTGCACCTGGCATTATACTTTATTGGACGTATTTACAAAAATGATTTGTAAAACTACAGGACAACCCCATTGTAATGCACCTTGCTAGATCATGGATTCACTCAAGTGACTGAGTTACACACCCCAACATTTTCCTACTTGCACTATCCAAATCCAGTCATCATGAAAAAATGGCCAACTTCTCGGTGGTCAAGAGTACGTTATGCAGGGATCACCGCTCACATCACTTCCTGCATGTTATTCTTACACATTCCGCACAGGAAGAGCTGCTGACATCTCTTCAGAAAGAAGTTAACCCAGCAGCACTTCTTGTGCTTAGCATATGCGTGTGCAGCAAGGGACATTCCTCACCTACCATCCCTATCCTCACCCTAACTTTCAAATCCCTCCATGGTTTTACTCTACCCCATCGAGCCCCACCAACCCGGGCCCTCCCTCCGCTCAGCAGATACTGACCTACTTCCTATCCTCGGCCCCACCCACCCCACTGGAGTTGGGCTTTCAGCGTATCTGTCACCACTATGTAGACGTCCATCCTGTTATCCCTTCAACTTGCTCCTTTCAAGGTCCTCCTCAAGACCTTCCTCTGATAGCATTTTTGGCTATCTTCCCCCCCCCCCCCCCACTCCATCCCCTCATCCCATCCCCTCGTCCCTACCCCAGGCTTAGGTGCAAACCCTGGACTGTTCCGTGCCTTGGGACGTCTTCCCGACACGAAAGATACTATAATGAATGTAAATTTGTATTGTATTGTACTTTGATATGCAAGAAGTGAGGTCACTGGTGACTGGACGACCTGGAAGTGAGCCATTTTATCACATCTCTTTTATAATGCGGAGCCTGAGACGACACAATAAAGGGGTTGTCTTGCATATGGTTTCATTGAATTTGTTCCCAGAATTATAGCCATAGTTATTGTTAGAGAGAAGATAGTACTGTGTCACATACATTTATTTTATGACTAAGGTACAACAGTTCTCAGTGCAACAAGGTTTATTCCATTTCTTTTCCTATATGGTATACCATGCAGAATGATGCAATGAAAAACCAAGGCAGTGCAAGAATTATTAAAAGCATGCAATACTAGAACAAGTAGCATATACTGTACATCAAGCCACATGTAACGCTTAAAGGCTGATCCACTTCTGTGACCTTCAAGGAAGCAATTACAGTATGCTCCCACTCTGTTTCAATGGTTCAAGAGCCATAGTCTAATAAATTGAAAGCAAGGGTTGGATTCATGGTTGTGTGACTTTTGCATACAGTAAGCTGCCATCTCTAAGTAATCACATACTTACTACAATATCATTGATAGTCATTTAAAGATGCAAATCACTGTAGCCTGATTCCCATTACCATAAGACCGTAAAATCCCAATTCCCATTCCATAAAGAAAGCAGTGCTCTTCATTCATGTGGTACGTACGGCAACACAGGGACTTCGCAGTGCTGCTCCTCAGCAACAGGCTGAAAGGTAAAAATCTCTTCAGGTTGTTTTGCTGCATGTGGCAGCAGCCTACTTCATTCAACTTCAGACACCACCGGTGTCTCATTATAGCAACCGTCTGAAAATACTCGAGTCAGTCACTTCAATGCTTTGAAAGCCAACCGTTTCTGCTCCTAGGGCTTGTAAAAGAATTTTAAATCTGTGTGAAGGTCTTTCAGAACATTGTATTATCCTTGGACACTCGGCGATAGAAAATATTGGCTGGTAGTTCTGCTCTATTGCCCTCAACACCTCACTGCCACATTGCTACAGTGCAACCTGCTCAGCAAAGACCTTAAGCTTGATGATAAAATACATTTGTATAATATAATAATAATCCTTGCATTTGATATAGTGACTTATCACGTCTTCGAGGCGCCTCAAAACGCTTCACAGAATATACTGTAAAGTGAATTGACTGTATGTTTCGTGGGCAAAATAGTATATTTTGTACAGCACCTTTCACGATGGGAAGACATCCAAAGATGCCTTCATTATCCTTAACAAAGTGCGCAAAATAGACCATAATCTCTGATCTATTACTGACAAAGAAGGTAAATTGATTTTAGTCAATTCAATCAAAGTGTGCACTGAGGCAGGACCATATAGCATAAGAACCACAGAACCATAGAAATATACGTGTCAGTAGGAAGCCATTTGTCCCATTCTGCACGTTTGTTAACCACTAAGACACATGGACACACAGGAAAAATCAAAAAAGTATGTTGAATCAGACAGCTTAACTAATAAAAATAAATACAGTGACCCTCCTCAACAAGATACCATTGCAAATAGCTCTTAATATAGACAGTAGTTACACAGTGTTGATTGCTGGATACTTTTGGCTCTAACCTACTCAACTTCCTTGGCACGTCTCTCAAATACACCTACTTGTGCGAATCCTTGGATGGTCTGGTTCGATCCTCAGCTCTTTCTCCCTCACATCTGGTCTCCAACCAAGACTGCTTTTCTTCACCTCTGTATCATCGTCTGCCTCTGCCCCTACCTCAGTGAAAAATGCCAGCAAAACCCTTATCCACACTTGTGTCACTTCTCAGCTGAACCTTTCTGACACTCCTCGCTGGGTCTCCCCAATTCTACCATCCATAAACTTCAACTCATCTAATACTCTACCTACGACCTCACACACATTGAATACCATGTCCATCATTCCAGTCCGTGCCAGGCTCCATTGGCTCTCCGTCTCTCAGTGGATCGAATACAAGGTCCAGGTCCTAGCTATCTCGATCTCAGCGTTCTGATTGTTACTACTAACTCCCTATCCCTCTGATCTCCGCTGAGGAAGAGGTGCACTCCACTCCTCTGCTTGCCCCGTTTGGCTAACTCGGGTTTGCTGCCTGATCACGCCCTACCATCAGTGGTCGAACTTTCCACTTTCGTGCCTCTAACCTTTGGAACTGCCTCCCTCAACCATGTCTTTCACCCCACCATCTGTCCAAGTCCTGTCGCAAAACCTACCTCTTCTTTCACCCCTATGGCCACTTCCTTCCCTCGCTCCTCTTCCCTCCCCCACCCCCTCCCTCTCCCCTTGTTCAGCAACCAATCTAAAGCACTCCTACACATTATTGTACGCGAAGGGCACTATTAAACGCAACTTGTTGTAAATCTGCAGTGATTGTATATCACACTCAGAATGGACATAATCATGCATCGACTAGGCAGAACATTTTGGGTATACTTCTCTGCTGTCGCTAAAAACAATCTATTCACTGTCCACAACTCTACTATGTGCATTATATTACATTATCTTGCTAAGGTATTACTATATAATACAGTACATCATTCATTGTTGAAGACGGGGTAGGTCAGTCACGTTGCTAGGTAAATGGCACAGTGCTCATTCTAGGCTGCCAAAAAAATGACGTCATAATAAGTTTGATTTTGTCTTGGCAACCACCCGCCGTGATATATAAAACAAATGCATATCAACACAATACCTTCTTCTTCTTCAAAATGTTTAACTGCAATCTACCTTTGGCAGATAAGTTGGTAAGCCACTGCCAAGTGTGAAACTGACCAATATTAAGCGGGTAGATCTGCAGTCTGCTACGTTAGCAAGAGCAGCAATGGGAGTACAACGATTGGCTTCAATAAGCTGGATAAGGAAGCACGCTGAAAATAAAAATCAATCAAGATTATCCATTCTAATGACTCTCTGCTAACCCTAGCTGTAAAGCTTGATTGTGTGGGTTCCATGTATAGGCAGGATTAACCTTAATTATATATGAATAGCCCGAGCAACACTCGCTCTGAGTCGAAGCTCACGTCTGAAGATTAGCAAATCAGGTGAAGTATCACAGAGCTATCTGCAGTTGTGGCACCCGGTTAGAGGCCCTTCAGGAAAAGATTGATGAAGACCATCCAGCAGCAAAATAAACAAAGTTTCATTTGAATTGCTCTGAGGAATCTAAATTCGGCATTTGAATCTAACCAGTCTGTAAATGTCTTTGCTTTAGGCAAGTTATTACACTTTCCAATGATTACTATTCCAATAATTACCATTAGTCAGTCTTGCTCGGTTGGTAGGACTCTCACCTTTGAGTTAGAAGATTCTGGGTTAAATAATGAACAATAATAAAATAATATAATACTTGAATTTAATATAGCACTTTTCGCATCAGGAGGATGGCTGAAAATGTTCACAGGATATACTGTAAAGTGCAGCAACTGTGTGTTTAGTGGGGTGGTCCTCAGGCTGCCGAAACCCTCACCCACGCATTCGTCAGCTCAAGGCTCGATTACGGAAACTCCCTCCTCATCGGCCTTCCCAACTCTTCCCTTCACAAGCTGCAGATCATCCAAAACTCTGCAACTCGTGTACTCTCGCGCACCAGGGTCCGCGACCCCATCACTCCCACCCTCACCCGACTCCACTGGCTCCCCATCTCCCAGAGGATCGAGTTCAAGATCCTCGTCCTCACCTTGAAGGCCGTCCATGGCCTTGCCCCCTCCTACCTCTCTGACCTGCTGATTCCCTACCAACCTGCCCGCTCTCTTCGTTTATCAGGCTCCGGCTGCTCCATGTCTCCTGCCCGACCATCGGTGACCCGAGCTGGGGGTCGGGGTGGGGGAGGGTGGAGGGCAGGGGGGAAGCAGGGAGATTGAAAGCACGGTCGAAGAGGAGGGTCTTGAGGGAGGTCTTGAAGGTGGTGAGGGAGGGGCGAAACAGGGATGGAGTTCCAGAGGATGGGTGCAGAGTGGCGGAAGGTCCGCCAGTCAATAGTGGGGGATGTGAAGCAGGCTAGAGCCCGCTGAACGGAGGGAGCAAACAGGGGGTTAGGAGGTCGGAGAGGTAGAGGGGAGCAAGACTGTGGAGAACATGGAGCACATGGAGAACATAACAGTAGCTTATGAGAAAAGGGGCTTAAATTGCACAGGTTTAGTAAAGTTACAGATCTTGCATTTATGAGAAAACCTTCAGCCACTGAGTGTTCTACCAAAACCACTTTAGCCTCATTGCTTTTCTCCCAGTCTTCAAAATTATCCTAAAAACATCAACCACAGTCAATGTCTTTAATCTCTTATTGGCCTTCTTGGTATTAACCACCATGGTAAGCACTTTGAGGTGACCTTTTAAGTAAAAGTTACTAGATAAAAAAAATCAAATTGTTTACAGCCACCAGAATTAAATAGGTTGATGTATGAGAGCTGTCAGCTCTTGCTAGTGAAGCAGGTAATAATTTGCAGAGTAGAGGTAGCAGGTGAGGAGAAGGACTACAAGAGATTAAATATATGATGGGGTAAAGGAATGGAGGCATTTGAAGCCAGGAGGAGCCGATGGACTTAGGGACTCTAGTACAGGAGAGAATGCAGGGAGCAGATTAATTGGAGTTTGTGGATTGATGAGGGTTTCAGTTGCAGCCGAAGCAGAGTTGTCAGGGACCAGATGAAAAACTAATAGAATAGGGGTATATGAAACAAAACTCTGAAATGTTGTACTGCCTCTGTGAGCTGCAATAAGCAACTGAG